AATGCACAGAGATGTGACTGGGCCACACAACTGGGCATGCTCTCTTCCATGTGTGATCTGATCAAAATTTTAACATATAATAAAATCTGACCAATGCCCAGGTGTGGCTGGGCACCCCCAGCTTGTAATTCATAAAGTCACCAACAACTACTGTAGTTTTTTTTAAATAAAAATTACTTGATCATTGAAAAATTACGAGCACTATCCATCCTCACAAACGGATGAAACTCAACATTTGTTACAAAGGAAATTCTTTAATTTTTTTCCAATTACAGGAATTTGTTCACCATCACCAGAAAATCTTCAATTGAAATGCGAAGTACAGTACTGTAGTAAAAAAATTGCATTCTCGACACACTAAAACTCAACCTTGGTCTCCTAAAGCTCCACATGGCAGCCCAAAAAAAATGTCCTTCGGTTGGTTCTTCAAATTTAATGCTTAATAATGAGTTTTCTGGTTAATAATCGCATCAGAATGTAGAAAATTATTCATATGCACTCAAATATTCATCCGTGCAAGCTAAAAAAAAATAACAGGAAAGAACGCAATACATACTAAACAGCGAAAGAAAAAAAAACCATAAAACAAATTAATTTTTTCCCCAAATACAGTAACTCAAATATTCAAGGTAACACGAAATATAAATATAATTACAACTCACCGGAATAAAGCGGGGATGGTTCCAAAGAAACTTTCTGCAAGTAAATCGGACCTCCAGTCAAGTTCATGAGCTGGGCTTCCAAGTAAACTTCATCGCTCTAAAAATAAAAAATAAAACATTACTTCACATTTGCAAAAATAGAAACCAGTCATTCAAATTTTTTGCCTTCCTTCATCTGTGCAAGCTAAAAAAAAAAACAACAGGTAAGAACCCAATACATGAATACAAAAAAGGGAAAGCGAAAAAAACCACATAACAAATTAATTTTTCCACCAAATACAGTAACTCACGAGGTGATCCTGCGCCAGATGTTTCCAGGGACCCGAAACACCAACGCCACAGTACACATGCCACAAAAATAAACACGCATTAATTTCAAAGCCCACTTCACGTCCAGGACAAGTAAAACAAAAATCTTCACAATTTTAAACACCAACAGAAATTCCAGATTAATCTAAATACATAATGTACAGTACAGATATCTCGAAGAAAATTCAACACAATCAAAAATATACACACAGCATTTTTCGAATACAGTGAGACCCCGACATACGGACGATTCGACTTGGGGACGCTTGAAATGTTGAAAAATTAGACCCGACATCCAGACAAAATCTCGACATCCGAACACTTCTAGAAAACTATAGATTTTCATTTTTTTATTTCGAAATCTCTTGAACAGATGGAGCTATTTATATGCATAAAAATAAAAAATGACATTTTATTAATAGTTCGCTCAAATTTATAACCGAAAACAGGTTAATTTTGTGACTTTTTTAAAAGATTTCTCCATCATCTCCGCACAATATAGCAAGACTTGTAATTTTTCTTTCCTTTTTGTGGTCTTTTTGATGCCAGGAGATCAAATTCTGTGTGGTTTTCTTTATTGTGAGCAGTTTTTGAACTGGGAAGGAAAAACACTGCCAAATTTGTCAAAGAATCTTGGCAGAATTCAAGTTATGCGCAGGAAGAAATCGGGGAAAAAAATGCGAAAACAAATCCAAGGGTTTCAGCGAGGAGAGGAAAACAAAACCGAAATACAGTGATGCAAATACTGTATCATTCTACGGCAATATAAATATACTGAACAACATTTGCGAATGTTCCACAGACGCGTCAACTGTTTCAGAAATTCCCTCTAACTTATACAAAGATTCACAATTTGGCACGCAAAAAAAGCTGCATAAATAATGAAAAAGCATCAATCGAGAGAAATTATTACGGCGGCTTTCGAATGAAAATGGTTTTTATCGCATCCAAAAACACATTCAACCATTTTACATTGAGTTCAAATAATTTTCCAAAATCAGGATTGACTTGTTCATTATTTCTGAGATCATTCATCCAATCACATGATTTATTCCCTCTTTCGAAAATGAATGCCATTCATCAATAAATATCAAAGGAAAAACTGAACCATTTCACAGACGTCTGAGGAATTTTTAAAAATTCCATTTTTTTCCCTAATGACCAGAAATGAAACCTCAAAGAGAAAAAAACCAAAGCCCGAAAAACTGATGAGGTCAAAGCAAAAAAGTACCACAGTTAGTCACACAATGTACAATATAATACAAATAAAGTACCGAAGTGCGAGGGTGAAATTACTGTATGTACAGCAAAGCAAAGCTGCAGATGCAAGTAATGACGTACCTCAGCATTGTAAAACTTGGTCTTCACATCCAAGGGCTTCATCACGACGAACTTGAAAAATTTCCTGAAGGAAAACTTCTCTCGTTGACTGTTTTCGTAAGACACGGAACACGCCAACCTGGAAAGAAAAATAAATTAAACCAGTGAGAAGATAAATTCGAGAAAAATCTTCATCACCGTATTCATTCGAGTTCCACGCGCCAAAACGGATTTTTTTAAATTAAAAAATAACGCACCAGACTTTGAATTTAGACATGATCAGGCTTATTTCCAACACAATAATTTCCCAAGGGAAAGTAGTTTTCAGCCATTTTTTTTCTTCGTAATTCATATTTTCTTTTTGAATCTAAGCACAATTTTGGCAAGAATTAAGCGTAAATTTTCGATTGTGTCCATCGAAAGTAGTTTTCTCGTTTTTCAGTACAGTATAATGAGCACCTAAACCTAAGAAAAACTTTTCGAAACTTGTAAACCCACAGATTTTCTCCCTTTTTCCCCCCACCTCAATTTAGAAGAAAACAAAAAGGCGCGTTGAATACGGATTTTTAACCTTACACATGAGTCCCGACTTCACGCATGTCGTAGTGAACAACTCGGTCAAAAGACGCCCCAGGGGAAATTTCTCCGACAAAGGCCTCGGGTATGGATCCCGAAGCTGAGGCGGATGTTTGAAGGTCCGCTTTGATGTTCACGTTGGTTGCCAATTCGTCTTCCGAGCTGTTGTGCACGCAAATATAGCAGAAGAAACCTTCTCCCAAGAAAATATTCCTGCGAAAAAAAAAAAAAGAATACATTTTGGGAACCATAACATGAAAAACATAATTGTATTCGTTCCTTCAAACGCTTTACGAGGATATTTAAATTTTGGGTTTATCCTGAACGCTACTTTCATGAGTTACGGAAAAATTGGAATGAACATTCTTTCCAGGAAAGCATTGAGCTCGATCAAAAATGGAATAGAGTATTTCATTCATGCAAACTACCTAAAAGGAATGGCTTTCAGATTTAAATCAAATCAACAGAACTAATTGACTATTGAGTACCATCAATCCGTTGCATTTTATAAAATGTGAAATTTTATTCCAAAAATCGAGGCTTTTCAGTTTGTTCTCCACTTGAACACATAAATCTATAGTACCGCAGCTTTCACGCAGAAGAACTTCACACGAGCAGAAAAATTATTGCGGTCAACAAAAAAACTAATCGGTCAAGTAAATCCTGCTCAATTTAAATCAAGATGAATCACAACATTATTTGATGTCGAAGAATTTCACCAAGTTCAAGTTATGCCACGATCTTATTCACAGCAGGGATTTCTTCAACCCCCATTTTCCTTCAATTCTTCTAGACATCAATTTCTACACTTTTAATGCTTAAAAATACAAGATATACGAGGGTCTCCCACTTGCTTATTTCCAGAGTAGATACCAGAGTAAAAAAAAATATGACCATGCTATTGTAAGATTCTGGGATTCTTTTTCTGATTTAAAAAAAAATTAGGATTTACTGCATGATTATGAGTGAAAACTTTCCAGTTACGGTGAGAGTTCTCCATCCATTTCACAAGCAGTTAAAACCTGTTTAGGCCAGACAAAAAATTGAAAATTGTAAGCAATTTTTAGCACAAACTTTCATATATCTTGTGTAATTTTCAAATTCTTTCAATGATTATTTTGTTTGCAAAAAATGAAAACCTAGGTGCTTTGTCAAAGAACAATTTGTCATTTAAACTCGATTATAATTTTTTCACTCGCGTGAAGCAACTGGATCTGTAAGACAAGCAGAATTCCAGACCTTACATAAATCCTTTCTCGCGTATAAAAAAAATGGCCAGATTCAAAAGTCGCGGAACAAAATATTTGCTGAACTGACCCGAAACTCTGGGGCAGTAGAAGCATGGGAGACAACGCATTTTTATCCGAGTCGTCGATTTTTGCATCAATCCAGGAATCAGCGAATGGATTCGACCCGACCGACTTGAGACATTCGACACCATCCACAGGTCCAGGCTGCGTTTGTAAACTCGACGGTCTCGTCAACCTCATCACTAAAAAATGAACACATCACAAATTGTCAAGAAAATAATCAAAAATAAAAATACAAAGCTCTACAAAATGCATCGATAGAAAAAATAAATGGAGCATCCTTATACAGCATAGACAGTATACCTTTCAGAGTCAGGATATGCGAACGCTCCTTCCCCTTGTCTTTCGTGTCCATTATTCACTCAGTTCTACGCTCGAAATCACCTTTATTCCTGCAACTGAAAGCGAAAACGTCAATTGAAAATCAATCGTGTTGATTTCCCACGGGCACAATTCACGATAAACTTGGATGTTTAGACTCCGAACGAAATAATGTCCGAACCGGTTTCGAATCACCAAACACTCTCACATACAAAGAATTCATTTTCAAAAATGCACCAGAAAGAGAAACACGAACACGAACAAATATTCGAGATCACCAAGAGTGCACTGGTATTTCGGATCACAGCTAAATAATCATTCACAAGTGAGCTGCTTAATCCTGGTGATGAAGTATTCTTGAACATGAGAAAATTGCACAATCCTATTTGAACGCACTCGTAAATCTCACACATTTTTCTCCTTCTTTTCGCGGAAGAGCAACAGAGAAAACGAATTCTAAAGAAATCAAACCTAAAGTGTTGGATTTTCTTGAAAATCACACACACACAATACACTACTTCACTTGCGGGGTTTCGGGAACCATGTAACTCGAGAGAATGCATCGCGTGGAACCCAATGAAAACCCGTCAAACGTCTTCTCTCACGAAAACATCGGGCATTCAAGCGAACAGAAAAAAGCACTTCCGTTTTCACACTGATCTCATCCGGACACCACAAAAACCTTGCGATAATCGAAAAACTCGACGGAATCCTGATTCGCGAAACACTTTCCAGCAGATTCAGTTTAGTTCAGAAAAAAAAAACACTTCCTGCACAGTTACACACATATTTACCGTATATAAAACAATGAAGGTCTCCATCAGAATTTTGTCCTCAACACAGGAGATGAAGGGGAGGAAGCATGAGATCCGAAACGCGACTCGTCCAGAAGTCATGCATCTATGAGCATTAACTGAACCCCCCCCCCCTATTTTTAATCAATTTTAAACTCGTTAGTACTCCCTTTTAATCCCGGTTAGCCCAGGTTAACCGTAACGAGGCTCGCCACGACCTTCCAGGGGCTCTGGAAAGTCTCCTCTGCTCGGCATGGAAATTTGACACACACACAGTATTGACAAGAGATGGAAGGAGAGGGAGATCAACTATCATGGAACAAAGCTTCGATTAACTCAGATGCCTCGGGCGACATCGGATATCGAACCTGCGAATTCATCAGAAACTGTCAGATTATCAGGTTCTCGCTAAGATCATTCATCACGCATCGTCTTCGGATCTTTCTACAAAATCATTCAGGCACAACTTACAGTATATACAGTCTGAGCTCCATAAGTTGCCGCCATTTGCTTGCGATGTTCCTCAACCGGTTCGGTGGTTATCATCGAAAAGAATTGATGCAAAAATCTATCGTTATACGGAACAAAATTCTTATTCTTCTAGACAATCATCAAAATAACCGTGGGGTACGTAAATTACATCTAGTCAATGCACCCAAGAAGTAAATCATGTCATCTTTCTGCGCGTTTCATTTGTTTTTTGAATTGGAGATCTCCCGCAGAAGCTGGAATCATTTTGCTCAGGTAATGAAGACAGAATTGATCGACATGAGCATATGCCAGTTGTCAGCAACTTTGGAAGATGGCGTTCTGAATGATATCATCATAGGGAATAGATTTGCTTTTCGAAAGAAATTGATGGTGGCGACTTATCGGGGTCGTCTTAATGGCGTTCGAACAATTTCCAATTTGAAACTGGGTACGAAATACTACAAAGGAGCCCCGACTCATGGACATTTCAACTTGAGGAAAATGAAGACTAGGAAGAGTAAAACATATGGCTCAACATCCACACAATTTGTCGACATTTGGATGCTTCAGGAGAAATCCCCACAAAAACGGAAAATTTTCTTTACAATATTTCGATATTTCTTGCCATTTATGTTCACAAATTATGATTTTATTTTAAATGTCCTTAATTCATAATCCAGAAAAGGCTACTTTTGTGCTTCTCTCTTTCAGAGTTCTTTCCATCATCTGTTCACAGAATAGCAAGACATGAGCTCGTTCTTTGCTTCAAGTGTTCATCTTCATGTCAAAAGATCAGATTGTGCGTGGTTTTATCTTTTGCAGATCTATTTTACGTATCTTGGAAGTTGAGAAAGAATTTTCATTACATTTTTTGGGGGACATTTTCCAAATGCATGACGAACACGAGGATATTTTCCAATTGAAGTCTACGGAAAAACATGCGGACAATTTGACGTAGGAACAATAAGGTCAAAAAAATCATCCGCATCTCGGGGCACCACCGCGCTTATTTTTCCCTCTCACCCACGATAAACACTACACCAGTCCTGATGATGATGATAACGCACATTTTCCACAGCAGATGTCGCGGGGGTGGACTGCCAACTGGTGGGAGTTGCGGGGAAGTCCTGAATGACACGACAGAGTCCAGCAACGAAGTCGTCAAATGGACTGACGAACCTCAGCTTCCTTTGTTCACAAGCAATGATCCTCTCAAGATTCTGGAGTATATGCGTAAACGTCGGGAAGTCTGCGATGGACTCGTGAAGACCAAGGACGGACGCACTTTTCCTGTGCACAGGCAAGTGAATGACGACACCTTGGCATGAAGTCGATTTTCTTTTAGTATGTTGTATAAAATAACATCAAATTCGTTCAAATCAGTGCAATTTCATAAAAAAAATAAAATTAATTTTTCTTCGCTCACTGGTTTTTCCGAGAAATTTTTATACCGACGGCATGGAACATAAACCGTTTACGATGATTNCAGTATATACAGTCTAAGCTCAATAAGTTGCCACCATTTGCATGCGATGTTCCTTAACCGGTTCGGTGGTTATCATCGAAAAGAATTTATGCAAAAATCTATCGTTATACGGAACAAAATTCTTATTCTTCTAGACAATCATCAAAATAACCGTGGGGTACGTAAATTACATCTAGTCAATGCACCCAAGAAGTAAATCATGTCATCTTTCTGCGCGTTTCATTTGTTTTCTTGAATTGGAGATCTCCCGCAGAAGCTGGAATCATTTTGTTCAGGTAATGAAGACAGAATTGATCGACATGAGCATCTGCCAGTTGTCAGCAACTTTGGAAAATGGCGTTCTGAATGATATCATCATAGGGAATAGATTTGCTTTTCGAAAGAAATTGACAGTGGCGACTTATCGGGGTCGTCTTAATGGCGTTCGAACAATTTCCAATTTGAAACTGGGTACGAAACACTACAAAGGAGCCCCGACTCATGGACATTTCAACTTGAGGAAAATGAAGACTAGGAAGAGTAAAACATATGGCTCAACATCCACACAATTTGTCGACATTTGGATGCTTCAGGAGAAATTCCCACAAAAACGGAAAATTTTCTTTACAATATTTCGATATTTGCTGCCATTTATGTTCACAAATTATGATTTTATTTTAAATGTCCTTAATTCAAAATCCAGAAAAGGCTACTTTTGTGCTTCTTTCTTTCAGAGTTCTTTCCATCATCTGTTCACAGAATAGCAAGACATGAGCTCGTTCTTTGCTTCAAGTGTTCATCTTCATGTCAAAAGATCAGATTGTGCGTGGTTTTTTCTTTTGCAGATCTATTTTATGTATCTTGGAAGTTGAGAAAGAATTTTCATTACATTTTTTGGGGGACATTTTCCAAATGCATGACGAACACGAGGATATTTTCCAATTGAAGTCTACGGAAAAACATGCGGACAATTTGACGTAGGAACAATAAGGTCAAAAAAATCATCCGCATCTCGGGGCACCACCGCGCTTATTTTTCCCTCTCACCCACAATAAACACTACACCAGTCCTGATGATGATGATGATAACGCACATTTAGGTGTCGTCTACAGCGCCCCCACCTGACGGTTGACCACCCTCAACGCCCCTTCAGGACTTACTGTGCTGTCTCAGGTCGTTGCTTCAGCAGTTTACCTGACTGCTTGGAGTCGAAGGAAACAAGTGGAGCAATGATCCTCTCAAGATTCTGGAGTATATGCGTAAACGTCGGGAAGTCTGCGATGGACTCGTGAAGACCAAGGACGGACGCACATTTCCTGTGCACAGGCAAGTGAATGACGACACCTTGGCATGAAGTCGATTTTCTTTTAGTATGTTGTATAAAATAACATCAAAGTCGTTCAAATCAGTGCAATTTCATAAAAAAAATAAAATTAATTTTTCTTCGCTCACTGGTTTTTCCGAGAAATTTTTATACCGACGGCATGGAACATAAACCGTTTACGATGATTTAAAAAAAATTGAGAGTAATTATCAGGATTTTGCTCAGATTTCCAGCTCATTTCGGAGCTTGATTCGGATATTATCTATCTTCATGCTGTAAAAAGATCAGATCCGTTTAAATCAGTTAAACTCCACAAAGAAAATTAACTTTCTTTTTTCTTCGCTGACGGAATTTTTTCAAAAATTTGTGCCAGCGACGTGAAAGATAAACCATTTACGATGATGTAAAAAATTATGATTTCCCAAGCATTATTTAGGAACATTATTTGGAGAATATTCGTGTCCCGATTTAAGAAGTTTTAAATTCCTTTAAAAAAAAATACGCTCTTTAAAATAACGCGAATTCCGAAAGACTTCGTTTCGACATAAAAGTTTGAAAACCAGTTTCATCTCGTCAAGTGCGGGATTAAAGCCGGAAGGACTTTTTAAAATTAGTTTTCGACTATTACTTCAGTCACTGTTACGTCATCGTAATATCCTATCATTTGGAAGAAATCTACTCGTTTCACATTTCCTGGCATGTTCCCCAATTTTGCGACAAGAGAAAAAAAGGCAAGGAAATCATGAATATGTAAATAATTATTTCTTTGGAATTTCGAAGCCTCGAATTTGAAAATCGAAACGCAATCAACAAATGACCACACGGAGGCACGAAATTTCAGACAAAAAATTACGAGAGCATTATTTTAAAATCCGCGATGTACACTACACTTTCTCGACAAGAAAATGATTTCAACGAGTGATTGAATGACCACACAGGCACAAAATTATCACGAGAAAAATTTTAAATTCATGATTTTAACTAGTTTTCCTCAAGATACAAATGGCAAACGAGTTAAATTAAATGACCACACGGGCACAAACTTCCACACAGAATTAAAACTTAAAAAACCGCGACCATGAACTATAGTTTTTCTTGAGATACAAATGAAGTCCAAGAATGAATAAATAACCACCCAAGAACGAAAATGCGGACAAGAAAATTCTTACCACGAGAATTATTCCAAAATCCTGCGATTATGAACTACGTTTTTCCTCACGATTCAAAAATGAAATCAACGAATGATTGAAAAAGAGACTCGTACAGAGGAAAGAGATGATATTTTTCGCCGAGAAATAGCATGACAGAGCGGAGATTTCTCCGGTTCACCAGAGCTCTGTTGTCAGTGAGGAGCCCCTACTNAGCATTATTTTAAAATCCGCGATGTACACTACACTTTCTCGACAAGAAAATGATTTCAACGAGTGATTGAATGACCACACAGGCACAAAATTATCACGAGAAAAATTTTAAATTCATGATTTTAACTAGTTTTCCTCAAGATACAAATGGCAAACGAGTTAAATTAAATGACCACACGGGCACAAACTTCCACACAGAATTAAAACTTAAAAAACCGCGACCATGAACTATAGTTTTTCTTGAGATACAAATGAAGTCCAAGAATGAATAAATAACCACCCAAGAACGAAAATGCGGACAAGAAAATTCTTGCCACGAGAATTATTCCAAAATCCTGCGATTATGAACTACGTTTTTTCTCACGATTCAAAAATGAAATCAACGAATGATTGAAAAAGAGACTCGTACAGAGGAAAGAGATGATATTTTTCGCCGAGAAATAGCATGACAGAGCGGAGATTTCTCCGGTTCACCAGAGCTCTGTTGTCAGTGAGGAGCCCCTACTTCAAGTCCCTGTTCACCAAGAACTCTCACGGCGACTACGACGAGGTGGAGATTCTCGACACGCCTGGAGACCTGGTGTCGCTCTTGATTGAATACATCTATTCCAATTCCTGTCGCCTCACCAAGGATAACATCGATCGCGTCTTGGCCGCCAGGTTAGAGCCCAAGAAACATATCTGAAATTCAGAGTGAAACCAGACCTGGAATTTTTTTTGGCATTAGGAAAAAGTTTGGAAGTCGTTCGGCAAAAAAGTTCATGAATTCCCAACAACAACGAAAATAAGTTGCTATATGCCAGCACACATGTACCTCAATCGCTTGGAAATTATTCCGGCGTGTTTTAAAATATGAGTGTGGTTCAATTATCAGACAAAAAAATTGACAAGAAAACATCGATGAAGAAAAGGAAGAGAAGAATCAAGAATTCAGAGTGAAAATCAAGACTACTTCAGGAAGGACACTTTTCGTGAAGAGCACATAACTCGAGAATTTCTTCTATCAAGAGCTGGATTTGCTGATTTCAGAGACCAAATTTTGACGTTTACTCGGGAATTTTTGCCTCTTCCCAACAAGATTCGGTCTTTTTCCAATGCATCTATAACACGACCTCTCTAGTCATTCAGGCGACACCTATACGCAAAGAAGTGAAATTTACCAACTCTTAGTTCGAATCAAGTCCGATTAGGAAAAAAGGATTTTTTCGCCGGTGAAACCTTCTTTTAGATTTTTTTCTTAGACTTAAGGTTGAAAAACTGGGCATTTTGGGTTCGTCTTAAGCACACAGCACGTAAAACTGCACAGGATTACTTTTCTACAATATCGAGTAGGTGTCACATGACTCCTAGCTCTGACCTCGTGACCAAACCCGGCATCGGAGGAAATGAAATGAAATGAGATCCTGGTGAAATTTATCATACGTTGACATTTTAGTCTTAGTATTTTAACTTTAACATTCTTATTCTAGCATTTTAATTTTAGTACAGTATTTCAATTGGTAATGTATTTTGATAATTCAATTTTAGTATCTTAATATATTATGTAAGTATTTAAATATTTTAATTTTAATACAGTACTTTCATTTTGATATTTCAATTTTAGTCGTTTAATAATTTAATTTCAATATTTTAATCTTAGTACTGTATTTAAATATTTTAAATTTAGTATTTTAATATTTTAATCTTAGTATTTTAATATTTTAATCTTAGTATTTCAATATTTCAATTTTAGTATTTCAATACAGTGGCCCCCGCCTAACAGACCTCCCGTGTAAGGGATTTTTGCCAAACAGACCAGCTGTGCAAGCAGTTTTTCCTCCCACCCAACAGACAAAATCCACCAAACAGACTTCTTTTGGTTTAAATTTAGTGTTGAAAATTGAAACTTTCAATTTTCAAGTAATTGACTTCGTGTAAAGGACTTTTCGTCTAACAGACTTGTCCCTTGCACAAATCAAGTCCGTTAGACGGGGGTTGACTGTATTTTAATTTTAGTATTTCAATATTTTAATCTTAGTATTTTAATATTTTAATTTTAGTATTTTAATATTTCAATTTTAGTAATCTAATATTTCAATTTTAGTATTTTAATACTTCAATTAAAGTATTTTAATATTTTAATCTTATTATTTTAATATTTTAGTTTTATTATTTTAATATTTTAATTTGGTAGTTTTTTTCATCATCAAAAAAATATTTTAAATTTCTTCATGGTTCCATCAGCGAGCGGTTCCAGATCCCGGGCCTGCGTGAGTACTGCGCCCAGTACCTGAACTTCGGCCTGAAGCCGGAAAACGCCCTCGGGCTCCTCCGCTACGCCCGGTCCCGCAACCTGCCAGACCTGGCCTCCCTGGCCCACCGCTACGTCACGACGCATTTCCACGAGATCGTGCTCCGAAGCGACGAGTTTTACCGCATGGACGCTCGTCGACTGGCCGAGTATCTTCGCGACGATTTCCTCAATGCCCGGAGCGAGGAACTGGTTTTCGAGACTGTCATCAAGTGGGTGGCTGTGGACTCTGAGAAGCGGATCGAGTTCTTGCCCCAGTTGCTGCGCTCCGTTCGCTTCGGACTCGTTAGTTACAAGTTCCTCACTGAACAGGTCCGTGTCCCAGTCAAACTCGATTCGGTCGCAAAAAAAAAACAACCGAAAAACAGCAAAAAAAGAAAAAAATACTCTCGTTATAATGAATTGATGCTCCAACAGAATTCCTCTGATCTTGGGATCAGTCATCATGTTTTGACAGATTGGAAGATACAGAAATAGTTGAACCTGCACACATACAACATCTTCCTTTTGTGGCCTATTCAGATTTTTTTCAAAGTTTAAGACAATGTGATCACTAAAAAGAAATTTAAATGTTGACACCAAATATCTCTAGGTAAAAACTATTCTTATTGACTGAGTTTTTCCAAACAATCCCTGCACAAATTTGTAAGAGTGGATGTTCAATTTTGTTTTCACAATTTTATACATTAGTAGGGTTTCTCAAGCATACAAACCCCTTCCAACATGAATTATGACAGGTTCATTTTTTCCTCTACACCCCCCCCCCCACCCTCAATCTTTCCTAATCCAGGAAAAAATTTGGAAGGAGGAGGTTGTTATCAGCTGTGCTGATTTGCTCTAACTTTTCCTTGCCCCTCATTCTGCTCATTAATGTAGGATGGCTGCACAAGCTTGTTTTTGTCTCTCTTGCTCAATTAAGAAATTGCCCAAGGTGGTCTTCCTGCTGTATATGCTGTTGTGGAATACTTTCAGTATCTCCTTTCTTTTGTTTNCTCATTAATGTAGGATGGCTGCACAAGCTTGTTTTTGTCTCTCTTGCTCAATTAAGAAATTGCCCAAGGTGGTCTTCCTGCTGTATATGCTGTTGTGGAATACTTTCAGTATCTCCTTTCTTTTGTTTGACTCAACTCTACTGTCTGAGCAATGACCTCCTCATGTCTGGTCCTGCATTGTTAATAAATGCCCCCAAAATCTTGAGTCTTAAAATTACAAGTACAGTGGGCCCCCATCTTACGTCATCAATCCGTTCCAGGATGGATGTCATAACATGGGGCTGTTGTAAGTTGAAACCCTATTTCCCTTAAGGTTACATTATCAAAAAATTAATTCGTTCCAGAAAAAAAATTAACTAAAATCACCTTTGTATTTGAACTTTTTGTCAGATATTGCATAAATAGACACAAGACATGTTTGAAAGACTGTATAAAACAAGTGATAGGGGGTAGGAAAAAATGGATATAATTTTGAAATTTTTATTGGCTGATCCGCAGCTTGGTGAACTGAATTAAAAGGAGAAACCTTAATGATTCTGGGATACAAACACCAAAGCAAACAAATTTTTCAACAATCAATCCCTCTGCTGTTGGGTAGAGAGATTCAGCATGGGCTTCAGAACCTCCTGTCATTCAATCACTTTACTCATCACCTTGATTCTGACTTTTTTTGTGTACATTTTTCTAGTTGCAATCTCCCTAACCCTGTAGACAACAACACTTCAAGCAAGCCTCTGTTTTTTCCCCGTATAAATTTATTCCTGCTTTGAGCAGATATTAGCCTGGAAATTTACCTTCTACAAAAATCTTCACATCCAGGATCACAGACAAAACATTTTCAAATGCTAAATATTTTTGCTTGAACATGATTGCAAGACCTGCAATATGACCACTAGGCAAATCCAAATCTCATTACAGATTCTGAATTTTTGGCAGCACTTTGCCTTCAAATGCATGTAAGACAGGCTGGAGAACCTCTTTTCCTCACAGTGGTGGGTGCAGTTAAAACTGAAGTACATTCTTGGTACTAAGTTCCTCTCATGCATCATTTTTGCGAGCAACAAAAAGAGTCGTATCATGATCGTAAGTTGGGGGTTTTTTTCATTAAAAAAAAGCGTCGTAAGGTGAAACCGACGTAACATGGGCCCGTTGTAAGTCGGGGGCCCACTGTATACAACAACAATGTTCAGGTGAATTTTGAGAAATTGTTATCCTTGATATCACTCAAAGTCCCAAGACCAGACAAATTCACATTTTGAATAAAAAATTTGACTGTGCCTGCCTTCATTGGGGATTTTTCATTATGTAAATCACAACATGTTCAAGAATTTTTTTTTTACTGGAATTGGCAAGTCTGTTGTCGCATCCGAAAGCGACACAGCTCCAGCATCCAGCCTCAACCAGACAAGAAAACTTGTTGGATTTCTGAGGCCTGTGAGCCTCACTCAAGGACAAGAAGTGGTCATCACTTCTTTGAATGTTACTAAATTGGCCAATCCTGAGCCAGGAAGAAATCGCCTGATTTCTTCCTGACCAAGTCCAAGCACCTGGGTATAAAAACCCTCATTCCTCTTCCAGAGGAGAAGTCAGAACCTAGTGTTGAAGGGCCTTTTAACTTTAAATTACCTCATTCAATATTCTGAGCTAACCATTGACTCTGCCATTACAACCATTGAATTAACAGCCAATTACTGAACTGCTGGGCAATGAGAATTAACTCCTTTGAAAAGATTTTGAGTTCTTATTCAAAACTTGCATTCTGATGGCTGATGGGTATAAAAACCCTCATTCCTCTTTGGGAGGAGAAGTCAGAACCTAGTATTAAAGGGCCTTTTAACTTTAAATTACCTCATTCAATATTCTGAGCTAACCATTGACTCTGCCATTACAACCATTGAATTAACAGCCAATTAATGAACTGCTGGGCAATGAGAATTAACTCCTTTGAAAAGATTTTGAGTTCTTATTCAAAACTTGCATTCTTATGGCTGCGCAATTCAATTCCTTTGTCTGGGATCCAATGGACCCATGACAAAAATGGTGGCCAGTGCACTGTCTTATCCATGACATCTGTTATACCAAGAATTTTTCTACATGTACTCTGTAGCTGTGTTCCCAGTTTTTTTTTGATAGTCTGTGGGGAATTTTCAACTTAATAAATTGAACATAGGAATAATGAAGTCTGTTCTTTTTTCTAAAATTTGGAGAAAACAGTTAAGGTTGAAATTATTTGATGAAGTTGGCTTTTCTTCTAATAACACTTTTCCCAAGACAAATTTTTACCTGATGAAATAAATTATTTTAATTTGTCATTAAGAAAAGGCTTTCTTCATGCCAACCACTTTTTCAACTATAGCTACTTCATTCGAGCTCAACTTCATTTTTCAAAGAAGAAGCTTTCAAATACCTGACATAATGTCTTTCAAGCAAAACGTTTTTGAATCTGCAAACATTTTATGAAACTTTGCTGGTCTGCAGAAAATGTTTGGGAATTTTGCCGGTCTGCAAGAAATTTTATGGAAATTTGCTGGTCCGCGGGAACAAAAAGGTTTGGGAACACTGCTCTATAGGATTTCTGCCAGGACTTGGGAAAAAAAGTTGGTTTTACTGAAATATTTGTTGTAACGAGATTCCACTGTTTTAGGTGTTGCCGCATCCGTTCATCGCCAACAACGAGAAGACACAAATTGCCTTGTATGAACCTTCAGTCTTTCTTGCGGAAGCTGAATCCAAACCAGCTTTTGAAATTGACATCAACGATCCGCTCGCTCGTCCACGAATTCCAAATCAAATCCTCTTTGCTCTCGGCGGATGGTCTGCAGGTCAGAGAAAGAAAAGAAAAAGATTAATTTCAACGAGCCTTCTTGATAAGGACCAAGAAATAATTATGCATAATGTACAAATTAATCACTGTCGAATTCTATCTAGAAATCGAATTCTATTCTAGAAGGAAGTTTGTAAACAATTCCTGGTGTTCCGACTTCAAAGAAGAGGGAGAAAAACTGATGCGTTCCTGGCGGGCGACATCTGTCTGTCACGACGTAAAGAAGCTTCTTCGAAATCAATTGCATTTTGCTAAACAAAAACTACTAAACAATTTTGTTACATCGAATTTCGTTCCGAGGCATTTCCTTTCAGATCCTAGATATGGGCTACGTTTTAAAAATTACATTACAGCAAACTAATTTCCCTCTAAAATCTCTGTATAACAAAATTTGCCTTGATTATGTGTGCGTTAGCAAAATAAGGTTTTACTAATTTGTACAACATGGGGAAAAAACACTTAGTGCATAATTCTAACTCTAAAAAACATAAACACTATTTTTTGCATAGAAAATTTAGCAATGCTGGAAACTATCAAGGAATACATTTGCAGAAATAAAAACATAAATTTTGAAATAAGTAAAAATCATGCAAGAATCCTTTTATTTTTGTAACTACAACCTAAGTCTTGTGGAATAGGAACAACTATGGCCTCATACAATTTATTTTTGGAGGCCTGCCTGCAAAATCAAAGTTTGTAAACCAATCCATGGTTTGTTATCCAAGTCCAACATGAAAAGTTTGTCATTCAACTAGTCTGTCAACCAAGACCCCTTTGTACCCAGGGTGGATTGTGGAAATAATGGCACAAATTTCCAAATTTTCTCAAAACCATCCCAACAAGCGTCAGACAATTGAACAAAAAAATGAGTCATCCCCTTCAAATTCTCCTTTTTTTTAATTTTACAGTGACACCCCCACATGCAGACAATTCCACATAGGGACATTTCATTAAAAAAAAGGCCCAACATATGGACACTGACTCAACATGCAGACATTGCATGATGAAATTACCAATAAATTTCAGGAAAATTGACTTTCATTACGCTTAATTGCAAGAAAGGGATATTTCCAACCATGAGATCTATGCAAGAAAAATTCTTTGATATTTCTCCCATCACTTTCCCTTCCATCCAGCTATTTAAAAAGAAATACCTATGTCATAGAGGTACTATCTTCTATCTTTGTGTCTTGAATGTTATTTTTACAGATGCCAACATTTCAGTGTACGGTGCAGAGGTACACTATTCTGTGCTCCAAATGTTCTTATTGAGTTTAAAGATAATCACTGAATCTAATCCAAAAGGCAAACACTTTTTTCATGAAATTCTGAAGAATATTTCTTCCCTAAAACACGAATTGAAAGTTATACAATGTGAGTCTGTGGGAAAACCAGACTCACCTCAGGGACACTCTTGATGCACAAATTATGTCTGCATCTTGGGGTCTCACAGTACAGTGAGACCCCCACAAGCAGACAATTTGACATAGGGACATTTACTAAACAATGAAAAATGCATAAAAAAGGCACAACATGCAGACACTGACTCAACATGAGAACATTGCATGATAAAATCACCAATAAGTTACAGGAAAAATTACTTTAATCAGGCTTAATTGTACAAAACAGATACTCCCAACCCTGAAATCAATGCAAGAAACGTTCTTAGATATTTTCCCCATTCATTCAGCTAATTGAAAAAACAATTAAAATATTGAAAAATATCCCTCAAACATAGAGGGACATTCTTCTCTATCTGTGACTTGAATGTCATTTTTACAGATGCCAACATTTCAATGAACTGTACAGGAGTATACTATTCAATGCTCCAAATGTTCTTATTGGGCTGAACAGATATTCACTGAATCAATTTCAACTAGCAAACAATTTTTTTTTCCATGGGATTCTGATGAATATTCATTTCCTAAAAAACCAATCAAAAATTATATAAAATGTGTATAATGTAAGCCTATGGGAAAACAAGACTGGACTCAGAGACACTCTTGATGCACCAATCATGTCCACATCTCTCTCTGGGGGTCGTCGGTCTCACAGTATTTTTTTTTCCCGCATTCCACATCAGGGGCACCAACCAACTTCATAGAAACCTACGATGCCCGTTCCGATCGCTGGTTCCTGCACGTGAGTGAAGACGCCCCGCCCAGTTCCTACCACGGCCTCGTCGTGCTGGACAACAAAATCTACATGGTGGGCGGATTCGACGGCAACACTCACTTCAGCAACACTCGGGTGTACGATCCCACCACGCAAACCTGGGAGGAGAAGGCCTGCATGTACTATCCGCGCTGCTACGTCAGCGTGTGCGAATTGGCCGGCAAAATCTACGCCCTCGGGGGATACGATGGACGCACTCGCATGCGATCTGCCGAAAGGTCATTTCATTTGAAAATACAGTAAAAATTATACCGGGGTCTTGATTCATGAACTTGACCCATTCCTGATCAAAGTTTGTTGGCCAAATCAAATTTCCCTTTAAGAAAGTACAGGAATAATTTCAATTGGTTCCAGAACCTTGCAAGTGTTCATAACAAAAAAAACACAAATATTACCTCACCCTCTATGTTTAGATTTGAATTAAACAGGCGGATGAAAATGTGTAGCTAGAACAAACAATAGAATGATTGAATTCAAATTTCATCATCTACAAGTTTCATCTTGTATTTCATGAATAAAATTGAATTTCAATTCAATAAAATTGAATTGAATTTACCCCTTGTGTAAAATGGGGGAACCTCAAAATTTTCCAGGTAACATTTTTGAGAATTACTGTACAGTCCATCCCAGCATAAGACACACAACCTGCTTTCCCTCAACAGTCAATTTAATTTATGAATCACAAGAAGAAAAGTTCTTGGGTATTTCTCTCACCAATTTACCATCATTTAGCAAATTAAAAAAAAAATGCATCAAGCATAGAGGGACTTCATCCTGTCTTTTTTACTTGAATGTTATTTTTTACAGAGAATGCCAACATTTCTAGGCACTGTACAGATGTATCAGTATTCAATTCCCAAGATGTCCATATTGTGTTGGAATATATTGCTTGAATCAGTTTAAATTGGGAGACAATTTTTATTTTCATGGAATTATGGTGAGTATTTTGTCCATAACACATCAATTAAAAATAATACAATGTTAGTAAGGGAAAATGAGACCCAACTTTGGGACATTTCAACGTATGGATAATCTTGATGCACCAATTGCATCCACATCTTGGGGTCTCATTGTACAGTCAAACCCCAATAAGATGCCACCATTTGTCCAGAGCAATTCTGGCAGTTTAAAGGGGTTGGCGGCTCATCAAATATTTCATTTTAAATCTTGTATCAAAAAATGCTTGATCTTGTTAAATCTTGTGATCATTAAACGCATTTGAAAAGGCCACAAAAGCAAATCTTGCATATGCAGGTGTACTTTGAAATAATCTTCTGGCATTGAATATTATACTTTCTTGTTATCTCAGTACCTCATTCCCAGAACACACTACCATCCAGACAAATCTTTAGGACAAGTTCATAATCACAACAACCTACCAGAAACTGCGAATTTTATTTTTCCGCATTCTGCTGAAACTGATTTTAAAAGAAAGCAGAAACTGACTTCGGGAGGTGGTTAGGTGAAGTTAGGTTAGTTCAGGTTAAATTGGTCAGAGGGAAGGTACAGAGATAACAGAAAAGGAGGTACTGGGTTAACAGGGAAGTACCAAATATTTTCTCAAAATTCCCACAACAAATGATTTACTGGCTCTGAGATATTCATAAGCCTATCATTATTTTCCACGCCAAACATTTTTCCTCGAGTCCCCCACGATTTCGTCGTTCTTGAATCGAGATTTCACTGCGTGTATATATATGCATGCGTGCAGGTATTCCCCGGGCGACAACCAATGGGAGCTGCTGGAGCCGATGCAGCGCCAGCGCTCGGACGCCTCGGCCTGCTCCGCCCGCGGCAAAGTCTTCATTTGCGGCGGGTTCAACGGGCAAGAGGTGCTCAACTCCGTCGAGGCCTACGACCCCGACGCCCGGACATGGACCTACTTCCGGCCAATGCTCAGCCCGCGATCCGGCGTGAGCTTCGTGTGCTACCGCGGCAGTCTCTACGCACTCGGCGGCTTCAACGGCTTCGGCCGCATGAACTCGAGCGAGTGCTACGACTTCGACACCGGCCACTGGCAGGAGATACCGCCCATGCACACGGCGCGTTCGAATTTCGCAGCCACTGTCATGGAGGACCTCGTTTACGTCGTCGGCGGATTCAACGGCACCACGACCATCAGCAATGTGGAGTGCTATGATAAGACCACGGACAGATGGTGAGTTGCGGGGTATATTATTTATTTATTTATTCATTTATTTTTAACCCTGCGATGATGGAGGGTTCTAATATGGCCCAGAAGTGGGGAATATTTTTTTGGGGGGTGGCTCATGTCTGTTTGACCAAAGGACATTCAAAATGTGCCCAGTTTGACCAAAAATCACCAAAAGGCACCCATTGGGGGGGGGGGGGGGGGGTGAATTTTCTGTCTTGGATAATTGAAATTAAGCACAAGAATTTGGTTGGGCTACAACCGGGGTGCCAAAACACCCTATTCGTAAGTTGATGTATTTTGAAAAGTTTTGTATGCTCAGAATTTGCTGAGTTTTTGAGGAACCACATGGTACTGAGATTTGAGAGATGGTGAGTCCTACTTGTTTTGACATTTCCTTCGGGAAGGAAGGATTCTACAAGGATGTGGAAATTTCCACTGAGATTTTGAACTAAGATTGAATATCCATTTTGGTTACTGTTTACAGTTTGTATTTCAAACTTCTAAAGATTTGGGTTTTTAGGACCATTTTCCCTTTGCAAATGGCCCTTTGCCATTTTCCATGAGGGCTGGAGTGAAACCTGATTCTCACAGGAGCTCTCAAGGACAAGTTTTGGCAAATCACTGAAACTTTTCTTTTTATGTCTAGGTTTAAAGGAGAATTGCTGCTATGAAAAATGAGTAAAATGGGGAAACCTCAAATTTTTTCAAGGACACTCTTTGAAAATTATAGACAATCCCAGCATAAGACACCCACCTGCTTTCCCTCAACAGTCAATTTAATTCATGAAATGCAAGAAGAAACTTGCAGATGATTACATGGTAATGCACAGAAAATCTCAAGAGACAGCTGTGATCTTTGACCAGACATCATATGCGGTAAAATCTAATACATTCTGCCTTGATACTTATTTTTAAAATAAATATTTAAAGAGTACTGTTGAGCTTCAAATATTTATTTTGGCTTCCTCTCATCATAACACACCCTGAAAACAACTTATGTCCTTCTAATGCAAACCTTGAACTGGACCAATCCCTCCCACAATACTCTCCATTTAATGCCAAAAAATGTGCCAGGACAAATGGTGGCACTAAATTGGTTTTTGAATGTATTCTACTTGCTTTTTTGAACTTGAAAAAATACTCATTACAGTGAGACCCCCACATGTGGACACCTTGACCAGCAGGCAATTAAACATAGGGACACTTATTTTGCCATAAAAAATTAATAAAAAGTCCCTACATGAGGACAAAGACTCAACATAGGGACATTTTGTGATAAAATTGCAAATGAGTTTCCAGCCAAATTACAAGAAACAGATATTTCCAACCCTTAAATTGATGTAAGAAAAGTTCTTGGGCATTTCTCTCATCAATTCACCATCCATTTAGCTAATTTAAAAAACATTACCTCCAGCATAGAGGGACTTCCTTCTCATCTCTTTTTCACTTGGTATAATAAAAGTGTCTCTTACGGTTGTAAAGATACATGACATGTCTCCATAGTCATAAGTTAAGGGGTTTACAAGTAATACGCAACTTTATATAACTAACTTAGTCAAATTTAACCCTCTCTTAAAGATGGAATTATGGTGAGTATTTTGTACATGAAACGCCAATTTAAAATTATATAATGTAAGTCTAAGGGAAGATGAGACTCAACTTCAGGACATTTAGACTTCAGACACTTTTGATGCACCAATTAATTCCTCATCTCGGGGTCTTCACTTTCCAAAAATTACTTTTATTTTTTTTCAGGTATGACGTGGGGTGGATGAACATCAACAGAAGTGCATTGGCAGCGTGTGTACTCACAGACCCACCCAACAAACGAGAGTACTCGTACCTGTCAAAGGCTCAAGTTCCTGATTTGCCTGACCCCAGCAGCAGCAACAACAACACAAACACCACCAAGTGAACAAAATCACTGGAATTCTTTTGAAATTCCTTCCAACTTTTTTTCAATTCTGAAAATTACCCCCCTCAAACAAATGCAACTTGTGAGAAATCCCATTCTTTTGTTCTGGCAATTTTGCTGCTCTCTTAAATCCCGGCAATATTTTATCCCCCATCTGGAATTCCTCCTGAAATGATTTTCTCTCGACATCCGTCTTTGTCAATGCCAATACAGTACTTTCGTCTTTTACCTACCGGACTTTTAATTAGGTATTTAGAACAGCGACCCCTTAACAAAAAACACACACGAAGAAAATATGTCCGATTGCACTTCTAAATAAGAACGCAGTGGGTGTCTATATTAACAATCCAAGGGTTCTACTCAAAGTTCCAAAAATGTCATTGAATCTTCAGATATTCGTGGTGAAAAAGGTCGACATTTGAATACAGGAAAGGATGTCTTTTTTGTCAAGATTTTCGAAAAAGACTTAGCTCTAATTAATTAAAAAAATTACCAATAATTATAAACCTAAATAAATCACCAAGTAAATTAACGCTAATTAAATTAAACACGTTTTGACAAATAAAGCAGTAAAGCAAGTTCATGGTTTGCAAAATATTTTCTGTGTTTCTGGAAGTAAACAGATGAAGTCGATTGTTCTTCTTTTAAACTAAGTCTTCAATTTTCAAATTTACAGTGATTTCAGAAGGGTGATAAATTGAAAATGAGTGATTGCAAGGAAGCAACCAATCAATTCTTTTCTAAAACCAATTACTGTGAGATAAACCACTCTAAGAAAATCTAACCATTGATTCCTTCTTCCATTTAAAATAATTTTGATATTGCATCTTATAGTTAAGGTGTGTCCCAAAAAATGTTGAGAATACTCAATTCTTTTGTATGATTTCCCAGACTTACTTTCAAAATTCTGGTTAGCAACTCTGCAGCCTGAAAACACATATCATCACAGTGTCTGGTCATCAGTTGTTTAAATGTTGGCCATCTGGGTTCCATTTCTGTTTATGCATGGTCATGTACCTTTCTTGCCTAGGATCTGTAAATGGAGTGTCCAAACACTTCTTCACTAATTCATTGCTGGTCTGGTATTTGTTGAGTACCATTGCTATGGGAAGTAAATAGTATTGTTATCCAAAAACTATGTTGACCAGTACGTTCAAGGATGATCAGTTGTTGTCAAATACTTATTTATAGCTAAAGGAATTGAATCAGAGATTTAAGATGTTTTCCGCAACTTCCAAAAAACACAAAATTTACTCCGTGAGAGTATACAAAGTAAGTTTTAATATATTCTTCACACAGTAAATACAATACAAATGCTACAGAGCAAAGTGGCGTACATCTGGTGTTTGGTCAGAGTCTGGTGCGGTCAACTCAACACAACATAAAATGCACCTATATATATAGCTTTGGCCAGCAAAGGTCAAGGAACGCGCATAGGAACCAATTCAGATTGGGGACACCATACTTTGTTGGTTTAAAAGGAAAGAAGCATGAGTGCAGTTGGGAAAGGATTCCATCAACAACAGGATTGTGACATATAATTGCTAGCACACCAGGCGCAGCCAAGCATAGCATAAATACATTAGCTTAAAAGGGTTGTATGGAGAGTGAGGGGTGTTGTGGTTGTTATAATGACTACAGTATATATTTGCACAAAGCCTTGTTCATTTGCAATGCCCCAGCCATGAGAACCAATACTTATTGTCTTGATGTTATTCCCACCCAATAAAATTTCAAAGCAAAATTAGAAATCAGTGAAAGAGAAAACTGATGTAATTTGTTCTTCATTTTGATCACCTTTGATGACTTACAATAAAAATGATTTAAACTGTATTAAACAGATCATATACAAAAATTGTTCTTATCCTTCAACAATCTTTTACACTCCAGTGCTTTTGAGCCCAAAAAGTTACTTGACCACATCATTGGAAAGCTTGTGATTCATCATTTTGTGATCTTCTGACAGGAACAGTCCAATCATTCTTGACATGAGATGGAAGCTTCATTCAAGTGTCATTAGTAAGGGCCTTCCATTCTCACTGCATTAACATAGTTGCTTAATCTGCAGTCTGCAGATCCCCAAGGGGTTTTCATGAATCCACAGAAGCTCCACAAATGCTTTTGGTAATATAAATTGGACATATTGCACTTGCTTTTTATTTTTGTGTCAAGTGTTTCAGGATACCCCAAGAAGCTTAAGCAGAGCCCATAGGGGCTCTGCAGAGCACAGATATGAAAACCATAATCCCAATTTACTGTTCACCATTCAATATTTAGCACCCAAAAATGTGACTGCAATAAAATGAAATCAATGCAATTGTATTTTTTTCAATTGCAAAGACCCAGGGCTCCTCAATACACAGATTGAGAACCACTGCCCATTTTTCACTTTTTCAATCCCCATTTATTTGTATCCACCTTATCCCCTGGTGCTCTGTGGAGCACAGACTAAGAACAACCTGTTTTCAAGTTTTCCATTCACCACCTACATTTTCATACTGTACACCTTTTTGTTGATCACATAGAAAAAAGGGAAACCAAGGAAAATTCTGCTATACCATCTGCCACACATAGGGCAGAGGGGAGCATAGACAGCCCAACTGACTATTTTCATGTACTGTATTTAACTTTCCATTGATATTTGTATCCACATTTTTGTACCTTACCTAAAAAGAGAAACACCAAGTAAACAACTGTATACCCTCATTTTCCACACATTGCGGATCCCCTAAGGCTCCACAAAGCACAGACAGAGAACAAATGCCAATTTTTCAGTTTTCTGTTCACCAATTATGTTTTTATCCACACACTGTTGGAGCTTACATAGAAAGAGTAACTCCAAGGAAACACAGCCTCNGCAGAAAATGGATGGCCTGAAAATTAATCCATAAATCTTGTCGCTGGGGAATTGTTTTTTGTGTGTGCTTCTTTTATACAGGCTAACGTGAAGATTTATTCTTGCGTCACCCACAGATATAATTGTTCCAAGGGTTCTACTCAAAGTTCCAAAAATGTCATTGAATCTTCAGATATTCGTGGTGAAAAAGGTCGACATTTGAATACAGGAAAGGATGTCTTTTTTGTCAAGATTTTCAAAAAAGACTTAGCTCTAATTAATAAAAAAAATTACCACTAATTATAAACCTAAATAAATCAAGTAAATTAAAGCTAAATAAATTAAACACGTTTTGACAAATAAATCAGTAAAGAGAGTTCATGTTTGTATGCAAAATATTTTCTGTGTTCCTGGAAGTAAACAGATGAAGTCAATTGTTCTTCTTTTAAAAACTAAGTCTTCAATTTTCAAATTTACAGTAATTTCAGAAGGGTGATAAATTGAAAATGAGTGATTGCAAGGAAGCAACAAATAAATTATTTTCTAAAACCAATTACTGTAAGATAAACCACTCTAAGTAAATCTAGGCATTGATTCCTTCTTCCATTTAAAATAATTTTGATATTGCATCTTATAGTTAAGGTGTGTCCCAAAAAATGTTGAGAATATTCAATTCTTTTGTATGATTTCCCAGACTTACTTTCAAAATTCTGGTTAGCAACTCTGCAGCCTGAAAACACATATCACAGTGTCTGGTCATCAGTTGTTTAAATGTTGGCCATCTGGGTTCAATTTCTGTTTATGCATGGTCATGTACCTTTCTTGCCTAGGATCTGTAGATGGAGTGTCCAAACACTGCTTCACTAATTCATTGCTGGTCTGGTATTTGTTGGGAACCATTGCTATGGGAAATAAATAGTATTGTTATCCAAAAACTATGATGTTGACCAGTACGTTCAAGAATGATCAGTTGTTGTCAAATACTTATTTATAGCTAAAGGAATTAAATCAAAGATTTAAGACATTTTCCGCAACTTCCAGAGGAAACACAAAAGTTACTCCGTGAGAGTATACAAAGTAAGTTTTATTATATTCTTCACACAGTAAATACAATACAAATGCTACAGAGCAAAGTGGTGTACATCTGGTGTTAGGTCAGAGTCTGGTGTGGTCAACTCAACGCAACATAAAATGCACCTATATATATAGCTTTGGCCACCAAAGGTCAAGGAACACGCATAGGAACCAATTCAGATTGAGGACATCATAAGTTGTTGGTTTAAAAGGAAAGAAGCATGAGTGTGGTTGGGGAAGGATTCCATCAACAACAGGATCGTGAAATATAATTGCTAGCGCACCAGGCACAGCCAAGCATAGCAGAAACACATTAGCTTAAAAGGGTTGTATGGAAAGTGAGGGGTGTTGTGGTTGTTATTATGACTACAGTATATATTTGCACAAAGCCTTGTTCATTTGCAATGCCCCAGCCATGAGAACCAATACTTATTGTCTTGATGCTATTCCCACCCAATTAAATTTCAAAGCAAAATTAGAAATCAGTGAAAGAGACAACTGATGTAATTTGTTCTTCATTTTGATCACCTTTGATGACTTGCAATAAAAATGATTTAAACTGTATTAAACAGATCATATACAAAAATTGTTATTATCCTTGTCTTTCCCAAAGAAAACAATCTTTTACACTCCAGTGCTTTTGAGCCCAAAAAGTTACTTGACCACATCATCGGAAAGCTTGTAATTCATCATTTAGTGATCTTCTGACAGGAAAAGTCCAATAATTCTTGACATGAGATGGAAACTTCATTAAAGTGTCATTAGCAAGGGCCTTCCATTCTCACTGCATTAACATAGTTGCTTAATCTGCAGTCTGCAGATCCCCCAAGGGGTTTTCATGAATCCACAGAAGCTCCACAAATGCTTTTGGTAATATAAATTGGACACATTGCACTTACTTTTATTTTTGTGTAAAGTGTTTCAGGATACCCCAAGAAGCTTGAGCAGAGCCCATATGGGCTCTGCAGAGCACAGATATGAAAACCATAATCCCAATTAACTGTTCACCATTCAATATTTAGCACCCAAAAATGTGACTGCAATAAAATGAAATCAATGCAATTGTATTTTTTTCAATTGCAAAGACCCAGGGCTCCTCAATACACAGATTGAGAACCACTGCCCATTTTTCACTTTTTCAATCCCCATTTATTTGTATCCACCTTTTTTTGTTGTTGCTCACATGAAAAAGGTGAAATCAAGGGAACCCCACATTGTGGATCCCCTGGTGCTCTGTGGAGCACAGACTAAGAACAACCTGTTTTCAAGTTTTCCATTCACCACCTACATTTTCATACTGTACACCTTT